GATAGATTTTCCTCTTTGATTCTTCCTGCTCTTGTGCAAGTTAAAAATTAGCATGTTTAGTGTTATTATTAAACGCTTCTTGTGGCCTCCCTTTGCTTTCATTAACAGAGTTTACATTATATGGATAGGGATAAAAACTACTCCAAATGTATATTTAGGCTAGCAGTGATCTAACGTAACAGGGTAGATGTTCTGATTTTTCTCTGTTCAGGCGAGACCTTTATTCTTTTAAAATATACTTAATCATTTTTCTGTAGGTATAAATGACACTTGCAGGAGGTGGGGGGGATTGCTTGATAGTTTAGGTTTTGTAGTAAAAATGAATGATTTAATCAAGGCTCTGACAACCTAGCTGTATTTCTGCTCTGAATTTCAGGGCAGAGGAGACACTTTTGGTGTTGTAGTTCATGCTGCTTTGTCTGTTGGCTTTTCTGCCTTGGAGCTGGTGTACCACATGTCCATTTTTTCCTAGGCGGTATTTGAACTCTTCCTTTCAGATGCTTTGTAACCTAACTACCCTCAAATGAAGCAGTTCACTTATTCCATGGGCAGTCCAGGCACAACTGTGAAATCCCTTCAAACATTATGGCTTTAACTTTTGTTATAGGGGACATTCCATTTGGAGGAATAAGTTGCATTTACCTTCTGTATCTGAGTTTTATGAATTATATATAAATGTTGTTTACTGTTAAAATGGTGCATAGTCTGTAGTGTCTGTGTTTTATTAGAGTAATTTAAAAAGAAAACCACTAAAACGATGTTACTACTGGGTGTCTGATTGCCAAGTTAATCTCTTATCACAAGTCCCATTGATCTTCTGTTTGAGCAGCTGAGAGTCTATTTTATGTATAGCGATCTTTCATAAAGTTTATTCCTGGTAATAAAGCTAACTGGGGTGAGTGCCAAGCTATTCTCAGAGGCAGTCCGCTCTCAACAAGAGAAGTATTTTATTTTGTTAGATGGAGATATTGTTTGGGTATGTACTTGTGGCAGAACTAGTGAAATTGCTAGCGAGTGAGTCAAACTAGGTTCAGAGGTGTACTCTTACTGGTATGAAGTTAATAGCATTGCTGTGCAGTAGACATTCAGATCTGACTTTTAATAAGATGCCCAGAATCACATGAATTTTCTACTTATTACTGTATGGTATTATTAAATTGGATTCTTAATCTTTTCAGTGGCATGGCAAAAACCTTAAAAAAAGCACACTACAAAAGAACAAAAAAAACCTTCCACCCTAGAACTTTGCATGTATTAAGTGCATTAAATTTTATTATGTGCAAGAGAAAGTAATTTTATTTCAGAGTGCAACTGTATTGGTTTATCTGAAATTATGTTGTTTTTAAGATTCTTGAAATCTTTCTTCTAATAGCCTCCATTTGCGTTTAAGTACTTAAAGTGTCTTCATACCAAACATGCATGTAAATTAAAAAGTATTTCAAAATACTAGTAATTAACTTTACTGAAAGTAACTTTTCATAAAGTAAGATTTTACTTTTAGTGAAGTTTAAATTTTATTCCAGAGTTTCTGAAGAGTTCAATAGATGGCAGGGCACATGTTCTTTGATGCTAATTATTTTGTTAATATTCATATAAAAATGGCAATATTACAGCTATGTACAATCTGTATAAATTCCTGTAGTCTTATGGCAGTTTTGGGAAGCAGTGGTGGTTTTGTATGCAGCTCTATGCAAATACTTGACATTGCAAGGACAGGTTACGGGTCTTGATCTGTTCCTCTGCGCTTGTCTGTAAGCAAAACTCCTGGGGGTTGGTACCTACCTTCTAGGAAACCAGTCTCAAGCAATCTCCTCTCAGCCTGTTGTTGCAGTAAATTTTAAATTACCATCCAATATCTTATCTTTGGTCTTCTCCTGTTCTGGTAACCTGCATATATAGGTGTACTTAAAATTCCTCATGGATGCAAGGGGTAAGCGCAGTTGCAGAGCGCGACAGGAGGGCATGGATGTGCCTGTAGTGCGCACAGCCCCCTTGGGATGATGAGGGAGCGGGGCAGGATTTGCACCCCAGGTATTGAAATACCAAGGTGAAGGAGCTGGCGGGATGCTGAGAAGTCAGTGGGAGGGAGGAGAGTGGAGGGATGCAGTGTGCCCTGGTGTTCGCTGTGTGCTAGACTGCCGCAGGGAATTAAGTGCATAAATCCAGCAGTGTCACACTTCTCCTTTCACGCTTAATGCAGGTACTGATGTCAGAGCTATCTGAAGTAGCTGTTACTGAAATCAGGGGGGCAGGTCACTGCTCAAGCTGCTTTATCAGGCTCTGAGCAGGTTCAGTCAGCCTAACTGCATCCTTTGCTCTTTACGTTTTTGAAGAGATTTCTGTACCATCAGCTATAAAATTTAACCTTCCTTTTACATTTCTCCTTGAAATCAGGAGAAAAGCCCCCCAAAAAATCTGGAACACACTTTTATCATGTAATAGCACATTACTATCCAAAGAGGAAGGATAAATTATTATATACCATGTAAGCAAACTGGAGAAAATGGAAGGAGATGATGTCTGTCATTTCAGCTAGCTAACTATTTGTAATCACGGTGGGAACAAACATGTTTTTCCTATTGCTTCTTACCTATCATTCGAACTTACTTATTTTCCAATAATTGGCAACCGACTGCGAGTGATAGGTAGCCTGCATCACTGTCCTGCTTGTCCTGTGGTGGTCTGGATGGTAGCTTGGTGTGAAGATCTTTGCATGATAGAGCTGAAGCAGCTTAGCTTTAGCCAGGCTGTTGTACTATTGTAATCATTAATACCACATGGTAACCATGGTATATTATAGAGCATCAAGCTGTACAGGTTTGTAATTGCAACTAATGATGTCCGTACATCATGACTTCTCTGAGCTGAAAAGTATCAGTGTGTCAGTAATTCAAGAATAAAATAAAAGCCTGCATTTTAAAGTACTGAGAGAGCCTTGTGAGGCTTCTGCATCTCCTGGCACATAACAAAATTGGTCAGTGTTCTCTGGCAACTTTGCATTATTCCTTTAAAAACATGTTTTTTATCTGAAGCATTGTTCTAGAGCCAAACTCTGGGTTGCCTTTTTTTAGTTTGTTGGGGTTTTTTTTTCGCCCGCACAGATTAATTCTTTTCATATGGAACTTTTAATGTCGGATTTAAAACTCAGTGTTAGCCTAACCTAATTTTTTTATATTGGATCAAATCTGGATTTACACAATAAATATGTTTTATTTAGAGGAAATAGCTTACACAGAAATTTGGAAATAAAATACTGAAATGTTTGAGCTAATTAGAAGTATTTCTGAGTCTAGCATAGAACTGGCAAAATTGTACTTTTGCGGAGTAAAGTGTGGTGTTGCTTTTACTGGCTGAATGTTGCTTTTATCATATGTGACGTGTGACAGTGGTGACTGTAGATGAGAAATAGTCCACTTGAAATAAATATTTATTTCCTTAAAATGGGAATGCTTGGATTTAGCAACAAATGAGCAATATGCTGGTCCACTGTAGAGTGTGGTTATATAGTAGAAGAGAAAAACCTATATATTACCATGAAGGCACTATGTTCAATCTGTCTGGGACTTATTTAGCAAGTAAGAATGTTAATTTAGTGTATACTGGCTAAGATAACTAGTTGTCTGGGGGGTCAAGGTACTGACTTCAGAGGCATTTCTGAACAAAGATGTTGCAGTTGGTGGGTGGATGGCACTGGTCTCAGCTGTTGTATGAGCTTGCATAAATAGTATCATCTCCACTTTAATCTTTCGGGTGTTCAGAGGTAGTGTGCATATTTATGTTTAACCCCTGGACACTTGCTGGCATGCATGACCCTTTAACAATTCCTATCCCTCTGTCCATCCCTGGCACCTTGGCTCCAAACAGTCTGGGAGGATAGCCAGTAATTTTGAAGTTTTTTTGTTAAGAATGTCTCTTTAACAAAAAGTGTTTTCATTTTGTCGGTATACAATTTCTATTGTGCTTGTTACAGTAGCCTGTGGCAGACTTCTGGAGTACATGCAGACTTCTGAAGTACATCTCCACTGTACAATATTTACTCCCCTTTGTATGTAATGGTCAGTTTAAAAAAAAATTAAAACTGGTGTTGATGGTTACTGGACTTTGGCATGAGGAAAAAAAGCTTTTTTTACTTCAAAAAACAGCAACAAAGGCTGGAGCAGTGTGTTTCATAAAGGGAAGTTGGCTTTTAAGTTGTGTTTTATGATAAGCATTTGATCTACCTTAACTTTTGAGAATGAAAAAGATCCTTAAACCTTCAGTCTTCATGGATCTCTTTCTCCAAAATTAACATGCCTTTTCTCACCAATTTTTATATCACTTCAGAGACATCATTCTAATAGAGTCGTTTTAAAGGTTCTTTCTGAGGCTTGTGGATGTTGTGTTTTAGAGGGGAGTATCCAAAAGCTTTCAAGCATCAGGGCTTTCAGCGTATTTTTCACCTTTTTTCTGATGGAGGGAGAGGGAGAAGATGTTGTAGATGGTTTACTGCAAGTGTTGTTTTTGACTAGCCTTTATTACTTTCAGTGCTATAAATTTAATCATGATCAAATACCAACACGGTAAGTGTAGCAAATGGAAAGAGGGGTCAAAACAGACCTCAGAGTGACCTGAACCATAAGATCAATAGAAATGAGTGGAAACGGAATCTGGAAATAATACCCGTAAAGCCCTGTGCACAGGGAGAGAAAGTAAACAGCAAGGCTGGGAAATGGATTGCAATAAGTTTGTTACCATTTTGTAGTGATGATTGCACAGGTGTCAGCTTTTATATTGCTCAAATGCTTGAATTTCTTTTGTAAGGATGGAACCTGGATGATTCCAGAGGTGGTTCACCCAAGGATCTATATGCCTGAAAGTTTGAGTTGTTCTAGTTTGTTTAAGAAGAAACTGAAGTAATAGTTGTAGAAATATGTTAATAAAATAATTTAAGGACAATTACCATGTAGATGGTATTATGTTATTGGACATGTTTTAGTTATATTATTTCCCCTTTTTTATAGCAAACTTTGGCCTGTTCCATTTTAACGGCGTTGTTGAGCGAGTTCTCAAGTTCAAGTAAAACCAGCAACATTGGACTAAGCATGGAGTTCCATGGTAACTGTAAACGTATATTTCAGGTAAACTAGTTCTGTATCAACATATGCTACCTGTCTTTCTAAAATTTAAACACTGAGAAGCAGAAGTACTTTCTTGTGCCAGGTGCATTCAGGTACAGTGTGTGCCTAACAGCATTTAATAGGACAGATATATTATAAATGCAGATACTGGCTACTTCAGGAAAGTTGATAATGTGTTTTTAAAAAACTTGTATCAAAAAGGTGCAATCCCTTTTGCCCATTTTATGAATGTAGAGCTACAGATCTTTATGTGGTTGGACTCTTTTAATTCCTTGGCTACCAATTGCAAACAAAACGAACACTCTGTGGAACAATGATAGTCTTAAATATAGCTTTGGTTTAAAGCCAAGGAGAGCTATGTATTTAAAAATGTTATTGCAGATGGTGTAGTCTCGTTGTCTCAGATGTATTGTTTGGCCAGGCAGAAATGTTTTTGTGAAGGCATTGCTTTAAACTGACTGTTGTGGAACAACTTACCAACTTTTTTTCATGCCAAAGACCAACTCTCTCCTCCACCAGTAGTTAAAAACATACTGTTAAGTTTTTCTTTTAATGACTAGCATTTATGAGAAGATTTTTTTCATATTATTTACAAACACAGTTTATTAATTTTGGCAAAGGAGCGAGGAGAGCTCTGACTTGACTGACAACTTTAGAGTATTTTTTGTATTTTAATCAAAAATAGAGGGAAAACAGAAAATTCTTTTCCCTTAAAGTATTAAAGAAATTATTTTTAATCAACATTTTAATTAATGACTGAGAAACTCTATTAATATATTGTGTTTGTCCTGTCTATAGGAGGACGATCTGCGGCAGATCTTCATGCTCACAGTAGAGGTACTTCAGGAATTCAGCAGACGTGAAAACCTCAATGCTCAGATGTCTTCAGTGTTTCAGCGTTATCTTGCACTAGCCAATCAGGTCTTAAGCTGGAACTTTCTTCCTCCAAATTATATCCTTTTAATGTCAGGCCCTTTATTTCAGCTAAGTTGGGTCACTTCTACCAGGTGATAAGTAAAGTCTTTGTGAGAAGAGAAAAATGTAAAACTTACAAGCCTGATATTTAGTCCTTGATTTATGTTTTCCTCGATTAGTGCTCTTGGTCATCCCTGTGCTTGCTAACAGATGCTTACATACAGAAACTGCTGTTGCTCTTCATTAAAGTTTAAAAGTGTTTTATATAAAAGGCAAAACTAGTTCAGCAGAGCAGCCCCCAGTTATGGGTTAATGGTCAGTCTGGTTGGTGCAGGAGAGAGGAGATGACATCTCGCTTTTTTTTTGTTGGCAATACACAGGTGCCATTCCATTTTGACATCTTTGTGAAGTGTGCCGATTATGAAAGTCCAGAGAAAGGTGGAGATGGAAAGTAGAGGAGGAAATGGGACTCAGAAAGAGAAAGGGCCTTAGTAAAGGAGAGAAGGAAAAAAAGTACAAAAATACTCAGCCCAAAATTAATATTGTAGAAATAATCATTCATATTCTCTATTTAACAGAGGGTTAAGAGCACTTGCAGTAAAATATTACAGTGCATCTTTTAATAGCTAGACTGTCCTTAAGATGCTTGGCAAACTTTCCAAGAGCCAAATTTTTAAGCTGGTTTATAAAATTTTTTTCTTAAAACTTTTTGAAATTGCTGCTAAGTTATACATACAGCAAGAATCTGGATGCTGCCTTCAAATCCACCGTAAAGCATTTTATTTGCTTTCCTGGTTTGACGGTCAGAAGGCAGTATCTGTGTTTTTCTGTTGTCTTGGTTCTGTTCATTATGCAGTGGGCAGCAAAAGTGAAACTTATTTGAAACTAGTTATTCCTTGGTTCACATCTGTAGAGCAGGATACCAGTTATATTGTCTTTATGGAGGGTGCTACAGATTAAAAGTAAATATCCTACTCCTATTAATCACTGAAGTGATTTGGTAGGGGTCCAGGCAGGAATTCAGTGCATGTGCCTGTAAGACTGAGATTGGAGTTAAATTATTGCATCTTATAAAATTTTTTGGAAGAGGATTTGGGATTTGTAAGAATTCAAATATAATATGTGAACACTTTTTTTTTTTTTCCCTAAGCTGTAATCTTAAATAGAAAGGAAATGCTCTTGTGTTATGCAGTGGTTGGTAGAAGTGGTTCCCTCTGAATTTTAACCTTGCTCTGTCTAAACCTCTGTTGTAGTCCCAAATACTGATGTTGCTACAGTTCGGAAGTGAAGGCTCTAGTTCTTCACGAGCGCTTTATCCTAGACTAAGGTTTGCAGTGGTGGAGCCAGACATATACAAGCAAGATGTGAAGCCTTGTGAGTTCCAGCTTTCGTTTACAAGTCTATATAATATGAAGTGATTCAGTCTATAGGTGCTAGTAAATAACTGTTAATTGAAATAGCTAAGGAAGCCATACTGCTGCTTAAGGTTAACAGTGTTTTCCGCTACTTGGCCTAGTTGAGATACTACATCTGTTAAACAAATTCTGGCCACTTCTGGAGATCAGATCGACCTTTAGTCCGAACCACCACAGGTGCTCTTACATGGTTCTCTTTCAAATCTTTTCATAACTTCTGCTCCACTTGATACCATCTTTTTGTTTTCTACCATTGGACATTTCATTTTGCTGTAAGAATTACAGCACCAGCTCGGGTCTCCTCTGTCTATGTAGAAACCTGTTTTCACAGAAGTTGGAATGACTTTAATCATCCTTGAGAAATGTGGTTCTTGGCTGATGAAGATTCAGTAAGTGTTGGTGTTTACAACACCATGTTTATTATATTGTGGCATAAATCTCTCTTCCTTAAGAAGGTTGGTTTCAAAGTAACTGTTGATTGTTAGCTCATGGGCAGTGAAACTTAACTTGGCTGCGGTTTCTAAATAGGTAGCACATTACATCAGGATGTAAGAATTGCTGTGTTGATTGATCAGTTGGTATCTTTTCGGTATCCTCTTTCCAAATCTTTGACAGTACATATGCCAAAGCAATGGGCATATATTTAATACTCGAAGCATGGAGTAAAATGATCCATTGTATCCACAGATAGATCTTTTTTATTTAGTTGGTATTTCCCCTGGTAAGATAGTATTGATTCTCAGTATTCCCTGCAGCATAACAGTAATAAACAGTATTTGTATATGATCTTTAGCAAGATTTTTGTATCTCAAAAAAAAAAACGAAGTGGCATAAATGTGCATTAACTCTACAGTGACCATCACCAAGAGGCACATTATTTAAATCACTAAGTTGCGAGAATTGCATCAAAACATGTAACTTCTCAAGTGTTCTTGTGCTGTTATAGGGTAACTTAGTATATGCGGCATTGTTAAATGGACAGTGCTGGCAGCAATTTTAACAGAACAGTTGTGTTAAGTCTGTATTGCCTATTGCTAGCAAGAAGAGCTGGCATAAAAGATGCATTCTGGAATAGCCATCTCGTTGGAGCAATGAAAGAAGAGAGCCTGGAACCTACCTACGTTTAAGGTGGAACTTAGTAATTTTTGAGTGTCTTAGGATGTAGTGCCTGCAGTAGGAAGGGCAGGGCATGATGATCTAGGAGGCCTCCTTTCAGTCATGGGCACTTTCTTCCGTTTCATTTTCTAACACACAGGCAATCATCTATTATTTTTATCAGCTACCTCAGGGTCTTAGTTCACCTGGTGTTTGCGGATGCTTCAGAGGCTTTTGGCAGTACTGTTGGAAATGACAATAACATAGGATTCCTATTTTGCACTAAGAACGTATGGCAGTCTGTTGTGGCATGTTGGCTTCTGTGGAGTTTCTTTTTTCAGTGCTGTTACAGCACTGTTGAATATTGTTGGCTCAGATGGAACTAGCTTTAACTGCATTTTTTCTTAAATGAACGTTTTGACTAATTAAGGAAGTACAGGTGATTGGTACTAAGGTACAGCCCTCTCCTTTACAAGAATGTCTTCAAGGATCCCATTCCTAATACATTATAAGTGTTTAAAGTCTCCAGTTAGGGAGCTGAATGTCGTTGGGCTTTAATGCACCTTGACATGGACATATAATATGTCCTGTGGAGTCAGGATGTAAGTATAATTTATATTCTTTACTTCCAGAGATGTTTCTCACTACTTCTTGACTTTGTGGCTGCCAAGAACAGATAAATCCCATTCTAATGGACTTGGGATGGGTGTCCTTAAATGCAAAAGTTCTTAAACAGAACATAAAATTTTGTCCAGCTGTCTCCCATCTACAGAAGGGTGTTTATTGTCTGTCATTAGGAGCTGTCATAGAACTACTTATCCTTTATTCATTAAGGTATGGATGTTTACAGCTTTTTGTAAGCAGTGCTAATAGTACATGAATAAAGAAGAAATTGAACTTTAGTTCTTGTTTTGGATTTGGTGCCTCTACTTGCTTGGAGGCAAGCTGCCAAATTTTCAAGTGAATGTAGAATAGAGGATTGGATTTAAAATACAGGTTACGTAAACCTGATGGGTTGCACTCCACTGATGTGCATCGTTGTTCCATTGAAATTGATGGTGCGATGGCAACTGTATGAACTGACTGGAGATTTTGTCTTTTTGTTCTCTCTTTTGTCATCTTTTGTCTGATCTGAATACTGTTTTTTTTTCAAGTATGTCAGCCATACAGTTAAAGGAAGAAGCTCTTCATATCTCTGTTCTGAAAACATCTTTTGTACCTCAAGCCAGAATGAGACACCTTTCTGGGAGATCCTGTGAACCATATAGCTCTGCAGACTCTCAAGATTTGAACTCGGTCCAACCTGGATTGGTAGCATCTGTTATGTGTAATGGAAGTACAAGAAAAACATGCAGAATGCTCCAGAAAACTTGAGGTTTGTTTTGAGGATTGATTCAAAAAGCATCCTGCCCTAGCACCTCCCAGGAGCATGGTACTGAACAGGAAACCACCTGGGTAAAAACTTCTTTTAGCAGGTTGAGGTCCCAGTTTGATTTGTTGCACAGCTACAGAAATGATTGAGCCTGTACTGAGGAGCGACAACACAGATTTCCTTCAGCAACAGGGGCTGCTTTCCTTAGGTTTTATGTTTGTTAGCAGCCTGGCATTATCCTGAATTTACTACAGCAGTCTGTCCTTACCTGAAAGATAAAGGGTTGGGATATTATCCTGGCTATTGTTTGGGATCTAAAGAAAAATTCAATGTAACTAAAATAGCTGTATTTAAGAAAGTGCAAAAGAGAGCTGCATTTTACTTTTATCATTCTTAGGCAAAAACTGACCGGACTTTGAAATCCCTGATGTTTAGAAATTATTTCTAGGGTACTATGTGTTTTCTTGACAATACTTTCTAGCAACTTTTTAAGACAGAGTTGGGCAAAACAGAGATTTACAGATTCCCTGAATTTGGACATAATTGCACTAAACACATTTGTATTGACATTGAACTTCTGAACAATTAGTGTTTCATCATTTGGGTTTTCCTGAATTAATTCTGAAAAGTTTACAATGAAAAAGCATGTTAAAAACATTACTATCAGAAGAGGAGAAGAGACTAGTAATGACTGTTTTTATGAAGTAGAACTGATAAAATATATAGTTGGGGTTTTTTTTCCTCTTCTGCTCTCTTGCCCCAGTGGTTTTAAGTTTCCAGTTTTGCAGTGCTTTGTCATCACCTTCCTAGATGGCAGCCAGTATATAGTGGAAAGGTGTGACTCTTGAGCTGCATCTGCATGGCAGTCACTTCTGCATAGGTGCTTTAAGTGTAAGCTAGGCTTAAGTGATTAGCTGGCATACTATTAGCTGTATAAACATAGCAGCAAAATGTAGCAGGAGCTGCAGAATCCACTTGAGTGGTCAACATGAGACTTGGTACTGGCTTGGCCACACCATGAGTGGCTCCGGAATTGGCCAGTTTTAAAATTAGCTTGAGTCTTCCTACACTTCCTATGCCTGTTGCTACACAGATGCAATGTGAATCCAGTGTCTCCAACACAAAGTAGTTGTTTCATTCTCATGACAGTTAAGAATACTTATGTTTAATAATTAAATATTTAAGCATATGTTCCTTTTCCTGAATGCTGGATATGTTTGCTAGGAGTATAAGTTATATAAAGGTTTGTGAACCATTTCTCCATAGGGGGCAGCAAGCCTCTGCATCAGTTTTAGACAGTTGCTCCTAGACTCATCCCATGTCCTTGGCTAATAAGCTAGCAAGCCAGAGGAGGTCTTAAAAATACAACTATAATCAGTATGTTAGCATTTTAACACTGGGTGGCAGATTTCCAAGCAGTTACTTTTCTAATGCAGTTTTTAATTGTAAAATAGAAGTCTAAGACTGACACAAAGTTCTCCAGAAATGTTCCAAACAACAAAGGTAAAGTGATTAAAATCACTTTTAAGAAAGATATTCGGGCCTTAGCACCCCAAGAGTTTTCCCTCCATTTCTGAATTGTTCTTCATTCCTGTGGACAAATTTGAGAACGAGGTTCTCGCAGAAGAAATCTCAACTTCGGTTTTTGAGTTCCTAATTTACTGCTTTGTGGAAGGGCAAGCCCAGCTTCTCTTATGAAAAACACTGTGGGATCCATTCTTAGATACTGGAATTTGTGGGAAGTCCTGAAGTGAAACGTTATAATCCCACGTGGCTGCCTTAGGATATGAAGTATTTTGATAGTCATCTTCAACCTTCAGCTCCTTCCTGGGACAGAGGCAAAGAGTGGGAGGAAAACTACACATTTGTTTATCTTTTATTTTCTTTTTTAATACATTCCTCCAAGAAGCATATAAACTTCAAATTTATCTTTCTTTTTTTTTTTTACAAATTAAAATTTTTAAATTACAGATTTACAATTTAAAGAAGTTTACTTTTATTTCTTCAGCTCATGAAACAAAACCAAGCATAGAGCTAATGGCTACTTACATAAGTTTATGCAAAGATAAAAGAAAATCTGTCTTACACGTTATGGTCGTCTCCTCTTCCTCTCTAGGCACTAAATTGGTGAGCATATGAGCCTTATCATACAAGAAGGCATGTAGTTATATTCTTACGCTTTTCAGTAGATCTTGGTACATACTATTGAATAGTCTGTTCCGATTCAAACAGAAGTTTCTAGTCTCTGTAGGAATCAGTGCCATAAGTTTTGTGAACTAGGTGAAGCATTGCCGGGCTTCTGGTAGCTGTTTCTTAGCTTGGATTTCTGTGTCATTCAAAGTGAACTGTAATGAGAGTTACTCATTCTTCAGTAGAACTGGGAGTGTTACAAACACTTATATTTATTATCAGGAGTGGTTTACAATTCTTTTTCATTTAAAAACAAACAAAAAACCACCAGGTCCTCCAGGATATCATAGTAGACTGGTCTATGCTTATCATAAATCTATGTTATAGCTTGAGTGCTTACAAAAAAGTGTTGTGCAAGTTCTGTACTTTTTGTTTCCTCATAAGTATTGAGAATTAAAGTAATTTTTGATGATGAAAACTGCATTTGTTGTGTGTACACCTATGTACTAGGTAATTTAGTGCCATTTTTTCAGGTTTGGCATAACTGAGCTGCTTGCTAATAAGGCTGAACCATAGCACAGAATAAGTTGAGGTATTTCACGGTAGCAAGCATCTCCACAGCCAACTTATGCTGATGTTTGCATACATCTAGTACTTGATAGAAAATGGATGCAAGATCTCCATGATAGGTACAGGCATAATTTGTATTGTTCAGTGAACAGATATTTTACCCACAAATCTGCTATTGTCAGATGTGTCATCAGTCCATTAGCGTGAGAAACAGTACTAAAAATAACAGGATAGGCCTGCTAAATACTGAGGCTTGTTAAAATAGTGACAGCAAACTGGCCCTGCTTTCATTCCACGTGAAAAGTGTTATGTAGCTGGTCCCTTTTGTAGACTTAACCTAGGGAAGAGCAAATTGATTTTCAGAGGTTGATATTGTATCTATCACAGTCTTATGATATTGATGTATTTCCAAGCCAGTCATTTATTGGAGAGTTACAGCAAAGGACACTCTTGTCAATAAACAATTTTAAAACACTGTTTTTTCTAAAATATTCTGAATGAAAAGGGGGAAAAAGGCGTAGCTTAATTTGCCAGTTAAAATTAGTTTTAATTTGTAATATTACTCCTGATAAAGGATGCTTGCATGTGATAATTTCATGCCCTTTGGGTTTTTTTAAATGTGGCAGAATGGTAGCATTTTTGATCACTGAAATGACATCTCTATTTCAGATTGAAGTAAAATACACAATTCTGTGATTTTTCGTTTTTACCCATCTGAAATAATCTGGTATGGTTCAACACACACTTACAATTTTGAAAATGGTGAAACTGGTTTTGTTTTGCACTAATGTGAAAGTCCTTGATCACTGTTATGCATTATAATGTGCTGACAACACTTCTGAACACGTACGACCAGTGAAGGTCCACTTGGTACTGTGCTGTGGAAAAAGTCACTTTTTTGGAATGTGGTTCTGCAGTGTTGTTAGGCATATCAGGTTTTGGTAGAACTCAGAAGACAAGTGTAAATAAACTGAAATTGTGCATCTTGTCTTGTGGCCCAATCCTTCACATTAAGCTAGATGTTTGCTTTATATATTGTTCTCTTAAACAAAACCTATCAAAAGTTAAGAGGTCTGCTTTCTTGAATGATACTATTGTGAAATTTATTTTCTTTTAGACATATAAATACTTCTTGATACATGCTTTTTATAATACCTGATGACTTAGACTACAAAAGTTAATGCAGTTCATTACCAATAAGTAAATTACATGCAGCTGAGCATGCTCTTACTTATTCTGATGGTTGTGTCAGAAAGGGATCAGGGAGGATAAGGGTTTAATAAAGACAAATGAAAATGTAAGTTGCTGAGTTAAGGCAGTTTTACTACTGTTTGGATTGGGGGGTGTCACAGAAGGAAGCACTTTCAAAAATCTTTGATAAACACTCTTCTGCGTGATCAGACTGACAAAGAATGTAACTTGCTTGTTTAAATTTTTTTACTCACGTCTGTTTTTTTCTGTACTAGAGCATTGAGCATTTGCAGAATTTGTAAATTAAGTTATGCCAAAAGACACAGTAAGAACGGAAAAGAGTGCAGCAAATCATGGCTTCACGGAGTGCACGTTTTTCATGCACGTCTTACAAACATGTTTAACGTGACGATGCCTTGTGGTGCCTTATGCTTTTGTTCTTCACAGCGTGATTAAAAAATGTAGATTAATGCAGGGCTAACATATCTGCATTCTGTGACGCATATTTGGCTATTTAGAAAAATAGGATATAGATTTCAATGAGCTATCTTTAGCTATCATAAGGCCTTTTTAAAAGCTGCCAGGAAAATCTTTTAGAAAATGATTTCCCATTTTGCATAAATTTTAACACCTGTTAATTGCGGTTGCTTTTTTCCCTTCTCGCTGTGTCACATTAGACACCCTGGTTATCAAAGTGATCGTATCACTATGGTATGTCTCATAATTATGATCAAACTGTTATCTAACATTCCTGGAGCATTCTTTTTTTCAATACTTAATACCTTTTATTCCTTGGCCTCATGCATGAATTATGCTGTGTATGTGAAGAGGCTTAAAGTTTGTTTCCATTACATTCTTTCTGAATGGATCCTGTTGTATCTAGGATTTTTTTAAAGCCAAGTAGGAATGTTATTGTTGACCTTGACACCAGATAACTGGGCAGACATTATATAGCTATGTTTGAATCCTCACAAAATGTGATGCTAAAGCCAACAGAATCCTGGCGCGAGACCCTCCTGGACAGCAGAGTTATGGAGCTTTTCTTTACAGTAAGTTTCTTTCTTCAACTTTCATAGTTCAGACCACAAGGAAAGCAGCTCCTTCCTGTTCTAAAACTGTATTGTTGGACGCTTCCTTTTGCATCAGGTAGGACTGATTCTGTTAACTTCAGCTTGCTTGTCAAAGCGTATAGAAGTATTGTATTTTTCCTAGGTTACTGAGTATGTATTTTGCCTATAAATTGCCTTAAATTTATGACCATTAACAAAAGAAAAAGGTATATAATCTAAACTTCTATACGTTTAATACTTTTGGACATGTATTCATCAAATGTAACCAAACATGGTGAGCAGTAGTAGTGTATGTCTTTCAGATAAGGTGTAACAGCTCTCAAAAAAAGATCAAATGAACAGTTTGTGTTCGCTGATCTTAAAGCATTTGCTCAACGGAACAGCTGAAAATAGTAATGTAATTGCAGTTTTCTTTTCTGCAGCATGCAGAATTCTGCATCTCTTTCCTCAGCACGAAGTAAATCCAAACAAGTTAAAATAGATTAAGTTAGGAGGGATGGGGAAGAGGTAGAATTGGGATAGGGTATGTAATATTCAATTTCTATAGCTTAAAAGACCTATGATTCTAAAATTGGATAAAATTAGTATTATTTTCTTTCTACCACTGTTGGGGGAAGAAGTTTGTCATTTTTGCTCAGCTAAGAAGTTACTGCAGCAGCAACATATATTGGCTTATAAATTAATTTACTATGATATTTTATCTTCTGTTACATCTCTTGGGACCTGAGAATTCAGCATTCTCACGCTATTTTACTTTTTGCAAAGCAGAGAAATAATGTGCTCGAAACTTGGACAAAGTTACTGTTAGACAAAGGAAATGGAACTCTCCAGTGCTGCTTGAGAGTTATCTGATACGTGCTTGGATACATGTCGTACTTTATAGGATTTTTTTGATAAATTAGGGTTTTAAAATTTTTTTTTTTTTACTGCAAGTTTATCTGTTCCAGCAGTTTTGAAAAGGTGAAAAAATCACTGGCAGAACAGCTACGCGCAATCCGAACAGCTGTCTAGACTATCCAGACAGTTGCTACTGTCAGCTGTGAACCTCCACATGCAAATAACTCTTCGGCTTACATATTAACCCTTCCTTGTTTAATAGTATGAAGTTGTTAAGAGTCCGGTATCTGTTTCTTTGGTTGGTTTACAATTACATATTCATTATAAGAATAATGTTTTGAATAACATGAAGAATTGTTTTAATACATTTGCAGTTTACTTAATCAAATACAGGCAGGTTTTGGTTACTATTATTTTTGCATGAATGCTAGCCAGGGCAGTGTGCTGTCAGTTTTGGTTTTAGATTCCTGATTTGCAATGGTTGAGGCTTGTAGTATTAGTTTGCTACTTGAAGTAATGTAAGCAAATGGTAGCAATTTATATTCATTTATCTGATCTGAGAAATTTTAATAACCTTGCAAAAGCTGGCAGGGCTGCCATGTTAAAGAGAAAGCCTTCAGTTCTAATCTCAGCCTAGTGTGGGATGTCTGTTAGGAGGGGTATTTCTGTTGCGGGGATTGTTTCTCCTGCTAGTTTGCTCTTTCAGAGATTAACTGTGCAGCTAATCCAACTAGTTATGAGTTGGGCAAAGTTGCAACTATAATGCCACAGAGAAATGGTTAGTGTTTTAACTGTACCTTTATGTATAATATTGCTGAGGTGAAAAGGCTACCCAATATTTATTTATTCAGTAAATATTCTGTGAAGAAAAATAGGAGGCATGAGCCTAAGAAAATTCTTTAAATCCATTCTTGACAATTAAAATAAGTATGTGAGAATATGATTACTGAAATAGTAAGATTTGACTCTAGAAAGCCTCAGCAGCAGAAGTAATGACATAACTGTTCGCAGAAACGCGGGAAGATTACTGCTGGCCTTGTATAATGTAAGGGTGTTGCCAAGGAAGTGATGCATTCATTTTTGTGTATGTCTTCAGTGTTTACTTCTGCTAAAGAAGCATCTGTATAATCTTGATTGAACTTGTTGACTAACTTTAGCAAGACTCCATAGCCTAGGCATAGTTAGCATAATAGAGATGACTGTCATTATTGCTGTTTTTAGAAGGAGCAGTATGTCTGACTGGCTGGCATCTGTTTCTCTCTTTAAGACATAACATTCAGTAGACAGTTCAATTTTCAACATGTAGGTGAGACTTAACTAAACGTTAGTTTCAGTGAGTTAATTCAAGGCTTGCGATTCTGTGAACTGAGTCATGATCTTGACATTTACTATAGTTTAGAGAGTGGTAGAAACCCTTGCATTTCAGACTGAATGGAAGTTATAGTAAGCTTTTTTTGGTGTGTGCTCTTTTGGATTGAGAGCCATGTGACTGTTGTAAGAACACCCTATTTTCCGTGTATTATTAACTATCTCACTTCCTGAAAGGTACATCGAAAAATCAGAGAAGATACAGATATGGCCCAAGATTCATTACAGTGTCTGGCACAGCTGGCGTCTTTGCACGGGCCAGTCTTTCCCGATGAAGGTTCACAAGTCGATTACCTGGCACACTTCATTGAGGGATTACTGAATACTATCAATGGGTACGTATGCCTGCTCTCTAAATTTAGATGGCATCTTCTAATCTTTAGTTTGGAGGGTAGCGTATCTCTGTGGAGAACTGTTATGACTTTCTTATTTCTGGGTATAATTTGTGCTTGCTGTTGGATTACTGAAATTAAGAAAAGGCAGTTTAAAGTAGGTTGTGGTTAATTAATATGAAATAGATTTATTGATTGAAAATGTATCAACAAAATCAATTCACTTTTAGCATTTTTCTTAAGGGCAAAAAACTAATTGCTATTTCTATCTATAGAATTGAAATAGAAGACTCTGAAGCAGTGGGAATTTCCAGTATTATCAGCAACCTGATAACCGTATTTCCACGCAATATTTTAACTGCCATTCCAAATGAACTTTTCTCTTCATTTGTTAACTGCCTTGCACACCTCACTTGTTCTTTTGGAAGAAGTGCTGCCTTGGAAGAAGTGGTAAGTATTTGCTCTCAAATATTAGGCAGTCTTTTTTATTTCTCTGTATTTGTGATAAGCATAAGTGACATGAGATTTGGCTGTTTTATTAGCAACTGTTAATAAAATTGTTGTGATTTCAGTGGTTTTGTTCTAAAAAATCACATCTGAGAGGATTTTCTTTTTGTTTCAAACAACATAATGAACATAGTTACACACTGTGTGCATCTTTCAGACTTTCCCTTGATTTAAAGCACTTGTCTCATATTTTCATTTGAAAAAGAATGGATTCATTTAAATGTATTAAAGGCTTTAAATATTGCTGACCTGCTCTTGTAGGACTACTTTGAACACTGTTGTGGGTAATGAATGAGCTACAGTCCTGACAGCTTAAAATGACTGCGTGAACATATGGACAAACTGAAACTTAACTGCTGTTGAGAGTTCTGAGTCAGGAACTTCTGTTTTAAGTGAATGTAGCTGTTAAGATCTGTTGTTAAGTCCATACTTCTAAGCTGTTCAGATCATCCCTTCGTTGCTGAGACAGTTCAAATGGTAATGCTGTGTACAAATCTAGCACAGGAATTCAGAGGATTTTTTTTCTGTTTGTTTGTTTCTTTCAAACTTTGGTTGTAACATTAAAGAGCAGTAGGGATATGATGTATATATATAAATGTTCTGCTTCTAAAAATTGCATTAAAAATAAAAACTTCTAAGACCACATAGCTTAAGAAAAAAAGCACTTAAGAATTAAGGTGAATAATCTTGCACTGAAGCTATTTATGTGCAGTAGCTATTGATTTTAAAATAAGACTATCAAGATATTAGCCAGTATTTTCCCATTGTCATTAAAAAGTATGAAATTGTACCAGTTTTGCTATATTGACTGAGCTTAATTACCTGAGTTTGAAAATAATTATAGACGTGTTTAGTTATAAAGTTGATGGATGTGTTTCTTTACCAGAGATCACAGCTGTGTTAATTAGCATTCATTGCAGAGCATTAGATCATGTCTTTGCTTTTGGCCCAGCACCCACTTAAACTTTCAAGTGTGTTCATATCTTAATCCAAAAATTGGTGATTAAATTTAGAATCTAAAATACAGCTAGTTTACAAGCTTTATTGGTCAAAACTTGCCCCGCTTGTAGAACACTGAACATAGATTCTGGTGCTCACCAGCACAGTTAGGAATGCTCCTGAAGCCTTTATAGAAAAGATTCAGCAAAACCATAGGCACCTATCATTTAAATTAAAGGGACTAAAGAGATGTTGTTTCCTCAGTTAGCCTCTTGTTACTTGAGAGTTAGAATATGCAACCATATTTAATAAAAACAGTGCTTAATGTAACGCCATTCAAAACACTTCATCTCTCAGCAAAAGCTTATGGTAGCTTGTACCAGCATCTGCTACAAAGTTTGTTTTGGAAATGGCTGGCCAGTTATGCCTAGTAAACTGTGGCTGCCTACACTTACATAATCCCCTAGTTCTTGCTGAAGAAATTGATTTCAGTATTGAAATTAAATGTTCTTAGATTCAGCAACATCAGAAAGAGAGAATGCAAGATTTTTTTTGTTTTAAGAGAGAATTTTCTCTCTGTCCTTGAATCTTTAAATCATTCTGTGGAAAGAGAAACCTTCCATTCTGTCGTAGCTCTTACTTTATCAACTTTATGCTGTTTTTCTGATTCCCAGGATGATACAGGATTCTGTGGTGATGGGCCTTCAAAAAAATATTTCTTATACCTTAAGAGTGTGTCAGCAATAAGGCATGCTACCGAGACTTAAGTTATTACCAACTTAATCCAGATGGCATGATGATACTGTGTGCTGTGCCTGTAGAAATACTACTATGCTTCCCCAAAAACAAACTTTTGGCTTAGGAACGTCCCAGCCATAGTTAATGTGTTTCCCATGCTTCTTGCTTAGACTGCTTGTAGTGACAACTTCTGTGAGCTCATGTGTTGTCTCTAAGAGCTTTTGATAGATAAAATACTGTGTGCATTGGGCTCAGTAGAGTCCTCAGATAATAATCCTGGAACTCTTCAGAAATCTGAAGTGCAGCAGAATGCAGGCAGATGTACTCCTTAAGCTTTGCTGGTTGTAAAAGCTGTTTTCCCATATTTCTGCCACTTCCTGTGCCAGTAGAACGTCTCATGAGAACATTGCAGAAACCCTGTCAGGCACAAGGAATCTACTTAACTGAAGACCTGCTGTGGAAACTGTCAAAATTGGGAGATCCTGAACCATAATATGCAAACCACTTCAAAGGAGCTAATACTGATTTTCAACTAAGAGGGGAAAAAACCACAATCCAAACATCAAATGCTGTTTTACATTAAACTGCTAGTTGGGGCTGGGGAGATTGGCTGAAGGAAGTTGAAACATTTGCCTGAACAGCTACACTGGTGGAAGGCATTAAGCTTCAGCAATGCTGGGGGCTAGTTCATGGTGCAAGTTGGACAAATAATCTCTTCCTTTCATAGCACTGGGTCTGAGAGAAGATGCTTGTCCACAGCTCTGCTTCGCCTTGCTCAACACTCAGCGCTTACACAGAAGTAGAAATCAAACAGTCCATCTGAATTAGTGAAGAGTATGAACAGGGTGTTGGACGAAAAGTCAAATAGAAATAGAAATTATATCAAAGGCTTCTTTTTCTCAAAATTAATCTTAATGCACTGTTCCTGTTTCATGATTTTTTTTTTTTAAATATCATGTGATGGGAGGGCTCATTCTGAATTTGGTCTTCTCTGCTCTGCTTCCAAGACTTTCCAGCTTACTGCTTGAAAAATTTTAGAAGTGTTCTTTCATCAAAGGGTCAGCAGACTGTGAAGGAAAAAGTACCAATTTTCATTTCCCATACTAGAGAAATTAAGCATTTTCACTTTGACTTTACTGGTTGTATCTTGCCTCTCCTGAAGATCTGAGTTCTGAACTGGGCTCTGCCATCGCTTCTGTTGGATCCATCAGAACAATTCAGCTCCCTGGTCTACAGTGTGTCACTTAGTTTACCTGTATGACATCTTTGGTAGCCCAGCTGTAGCTAACCTGAAATAAGGACTGGGAATTTTTAGTAAGGTTCCTTTCTGATCAGATTTGTTCAATATGGATAAACTCTTTGACTATCTGGGCATGTACTTTATGGAGGCACTTATTCATCCTAGCTTCCTTATGAGAATACCATGAAGTGTTAAAAACTTTTTTTTCATGGTATTAACTTCTGTATTACCTTCTTAAATAAATTAATTGGATAGATTTGAGTTATTTTGTTGCTCAAAATTAGAAAGGCAAAAGCCCAGCTAGA